TTATTTTATTTTATTTTATTTTATTTTATTTTATTTTATTTTATTTTATGCCAGAAATCTTGCAGAATGTATACGGGATTTGTTAATTTGAAATGACCTTATGGGATATGCTTCCATTGGTTTCTAGAAATGTGATGGTGGTTCCCATTTTCATATAAAGCTTATGCTTAATTATTACCAAAAGTAAAAGGAAAGTGAAAGTGAGAATGGTTTGGGAGTATTCTACCTTTGTCCCCACCAGCCTTTGGTCACTGCCAAGCTCTTGGAAATCTGAATTTGAACTACCCAAAGATAAGTTTTCTCTCAGAAAAATGGTCCTATTAATTTGATGATGACTTTTGACATGGCATTCCCCTCTAGGACATATTTCAGTTCCAGAAGTTCATTTTGCTTTGCCAAGCAAAACAGTGTGATACATCCTGCCAATAAGAAGACAGCAAAGGGGAGCCTGGGCAGCGCAGTCGGTTAAGCGTCCGACTTCAGCCAGGTCACGATCTCGCGGTCCGTGAGTTCGAGCCCGGCGTCAGGCTCTGGGCTGATGGCTCGGAGCCTGGAGCCTGTTTCCGATTCTGTGTCTCCCTCTCTCTCTGCCACTCCCCCGTTCATGCTCTGTCTCTCTCTGTCCCAAAAATAAATAAAAAAACGTTGAAAAAAAACTTTAGAAAAAAAAAGAAAAAAAAAGAAGACAGCAAATACTCAATAGTGGAACATAACCCATTTCAAGAGGCCAAGGGACAACTCTGCAAATACATTGCATCCTAGTGGCTCCTTACTGCTCATAACATACTCCAATGATGTGAAGAAATTAATTCCTGTCACAAATTATATACTTTCACTAGTAAGGTTAGGGGTAATAATATGGCTGGAATTTAGAAATGCTTCAGCTACCATATTGATGAAAATGACATAATCGTATATTTCTTCCATCTCACCTATTTTTGAGGAAGGCTTCTCACTATGTTTAATGTACTGCTGGGACCACTTAAAGAATAATAAACTGAAGACATTTTTGAGCAAGAAAGGAGGAAAAGAGCATTTTCACTCTTTAAATGTGCACCTACAACTATGTGGTAGGCAAAGTTGTCTTCTATTGCAAGTACGGTATCATTTTTGCAAGCTGTGTCTGACTATTGACTATAAACACAACGCCTGTTACGTATTAAAACGTGGTACGTATCAGGATATGCAGCGTTAATGCAGACTGTTTTCTCTTTTAAGTGTAAGCTACTGTATGTTTTCAAAGTACCAATGCAGCACTGAATTAACTGCAGGGTGTGAAACCCAAATTACAGGTTTTAAGAAATTATCTCTCATTTTCAATATTTGATGACTTTCAAGGGTGCATTCAATTCCTTTACTGTCTGAAATAGATTTCCACTTACACTTCAGAAGTTTCTAACAGAAATATATTTACTAACGTTAGAGAAAGATAAGTGACTATAATCATTATGCTAATAAAGGAGATGAAAATGAAACCAGAAAGTCTGCTTTTCTGGGTAAATCAGAGAAGATGGATGAGTTTGCTTTTTCTTCCACTTAGAACAGCTATTCAGATACCCAAAATGGTCCTCTGAATATTATAGATTTAGTTTAAATAATTTAAGGAATTAACATAAAGGTAAATCATATCAAACATAAAAAATGCAAGACATTTCACATACACAGGGAATTATCAGGCAGGGCTGCTTTAAATTCACGCTGATCACCAGAGGACTAATTTTGTCAGACCATGGAGAAGCTGATAAAGCCCATGGCGTCTTCTCACAACCTTAATGTTAATGCTCTTTTGCTTGATTTTTCAAAAGACCGAGATGGCCCCTTTGTGTTTTACAGTCTGTCTTGTTCTTTCCTGCCTGGGATCTTCCTGGATATGGGTTTGTTTGCTTCCCTAATCATATCTTGGGGACTCAGGAAAACTCATTTCCTCTATGTCAGCCTAATGTCTCACGTTAAGTAGGGAACAGGCTGGTTTGTGTTACAACAGCCCGATTCGTGCACATATTTATTTTCTTCATAGAATTGCAGCTTATCGGTTGGACGGCAGAAATGCTGGCATTGGGCATAGGGTGGTCCACAACTTTGCATTCTTTTGGGTCTTCCAGACAAGAGACCTCGGATGGGCTGCCAGGTGAATATGCAGTGTTTCCGGCTCCTCAAATTAGCTATTAATATAGAACCTTATTCTGCAAAATACAGGTTAGCTCATAACCCTTCGATTGTTTCCACAGCTTTTTATTTAAAGAATCATTCTCATGACATAATTGGTGGTTCTTAAATATTAGACTAGCGGTGCTAGTATTTTTGGCTTTTTCATTTCTCTCTAACTTGTAAACTTTTCTCTAAATGTGTCAATCGGTATGAAGAAAAAGTATGAGTAGTTCATAAATCTGACCTATCGTACTAGCGAGACAGTATACTGAAGGACCGGAGTGTCATTTTTGAACTGGGTGCATCTCATTGTAGATTATTAAAAAACTGCATCACAGGCACCACGAATGGGGAAAAAATTGTTCCTTTTATCAACCAAATAGAGACCTGCCATGACCTGTATCTTGAGTGCCAAAACAGTGATAAATGCCTTGTATTTAGCATTTTATAGAGGCCTTGTGACTAGAAATTAAGGTAATATTTAAAGATTAGAAAATTAAAATAACATTACATTCCTTGGACTTTTCCCCAAGACACAAAAGTGATCATCTCATAATATTATAAGGAAAGGGAGGACTTGGGCAAGAATCAGCACTAACTTAACGCCCATGGCTGGATCGAAGCACCGTGACCTGGGCAAACCTTTCAGCCAGAAAGAAAAAACACTTGGGCATGCAGAATTTTTTTTTTTCTTCAAAAGCAAAAGTTCATCTTGTACTAGTACTAAAATGACAACAGGGAAGAATCTGGGTTTTTTAGTGCACACAGCTGAGTGCAGCAAGAAGGGCAACTTCTTTTTTTGGTTATAAAATGGTCCCAGCTTTTTGTAACAGGCCAACTGGGGCTAAAAGTTTTTATTTGTAAGCAAAATCATTCAATTTCAAGTGGTTCTGTAAAATACAAATGAACGACAGGATCCAAACTTATCCCCCAGATTAAATGTTTGCTATTTTGGTTGAAATTGCAAATTACAGTCTTCCATATTATGAACCAGAAACATTTCAGAAAATTCTAGCCTGAGTGCTGAGAATAAAATAGTCTACCGTGTCCTGTCTTGTTAGTATATGTCTCATGTGTTTTTAATACAAGGAGCACAAAACAATCATGAAAGAACAATTAAATGCAAGGGGTATTTACATCTGATCATATGTGTTTGGGAGCAGAAGCCATGCTGTGCCTGTGACTCCATGAAAAACGGCAAGATGGCAATTGAGGGTGTCTCAATACTGAGTGTAGACTCCCAGAGAAACCTTCCATGACTTCCAAACTTTAAGCTCACTGATTCTTTTGCACTGAAAGTCAATGCTATATTTACGGATGTAATCTGCAGACTCTTAAAATATAAAATGAGGTCCTCCTCACTCGCCACTTAGCGGAAATTCCCTGTGTTCTTTTAAGCCTTTGGATGAGTATTTTTTTGATCCATGTACTTAATTTTTTTAATAGCAGCAATCCAACTTAATGCAGCCTTGAAAATGAGTAGTCCTTTCCATGCCCACTCAGACATAACTGCTGGCAGAACACTTGCATTTAAGTTTTAACTTTGGATTCAGATTTTTTTTTTTTGAAAAAGGTGTTGTGATTGTCAATATTATCTTCCTTAGATCAAGCATGGTTGCTTTGACTTTGAAGATAATCAAGCTAGGGAAAGACCAAAAGATTTATTTCTAGAGCTTCCTACAGATTTATAGGGTCACATTCATCTGACTTTATTCCCAGTCCTGTTATCCTTGTAGAAGTCTGGTACATTAGATAAGGAGTATAAAAAAATAAAAAGTGTGTATATAGCTGTTACTTGAAACATGCAACAAAATTTGGGCAGGCATGCTTGTTAAGAGTCAATAAACATCTCTTGCATTTAAGAAAAAGATGCATGAAAACACTCAGACTTATTTCTGGCAATTGGATTCACTGGCACAACATAAAATAATGGTACTATACTGCACCAACATAACGGTGAAACGGGAATATTCTTCTAGGATCCGGTCTTTAAGGAATCCACATTGGGTGATTAGATTCCAAAATCCCTTAATAAGTTCTCAGCTACCAAAAGCCTACTTCAAAAATATTTATGCCTTGATTTTTTTTTCTTTTCTTCATTAACATAATGAAATATTTCTCTTCTTTTCTGATTTTCAACCCCTACCCCTTTCCAGTGCCCAGCAATTCCAGTCCCCATATGTCTCTTTAACCCGCAGTCTACAATTTGGCTTTCTGGTAACAGGGACCCAGCGATTGTCTTCTGCTCATCTTCCTTGATTAAAACTCCTGATGGAGAATAACCGGTATAACCATGGTGTTGCTTACCATCAATACACATGCTGGACAGCAGAGTCACTGCACCTGTCCCTTTGCTTGTTGGCCCTATCTGGGCTGTATAGGTGGGGAGCACTTTCCATACACTTCCTTCCCCAATTAAACGGAAACACACACATTCAAATCCCAGTGCAATATCAGGTTTTCAGGAAGAGAGGCTTCCCCCAAAGATGACCAGTCTATGTTTCCAGAGTCTCACACTTCTTTATGGACGGTGAAACCTGACAGAAGAAACAGAAACTCTGTGAGTCTATGGTATAGACCGAATAAGGTACAGCAATGTTTATATTAAAGGGAGCTCTAGACATCTCCCAACTGAATTACTGTTATAAATTACTGGCATAACAGAATAGTGTTACAAATGTTACTGTTACAAATGTTAGGCTGGAAAGCAAAGACAGCCCCTCTATAAAATTTTCTGGTTATATTATCGAGGATACAGAGCAATCAGTATACAAAACATAGCAAATCTTAAGCATCATGCTGTGAGCTGTACTGAGCTGAGTGGGATGTTTCATACAGGATTTGATTACACCTGGTTCATAGTTATAGAAGGAAACCATCAACAAATAGTCACTGTTTCATTATCTTCAGCATCTCATCACCTCCCACTGAAGACACTAAATCTACTTTCTTACCCTGAATTTCCGAATACCTGCCAGGCATTTCCATCTAAATGTTCCACTGAACATATCCACAACTACACAAATGGTCTTTTCTTATAAATCTGCCTTGGCACATTCCATCTTGTTAAACAATCTACCTTTTAAAAGATTTTTAGTCTAAGACCCTCAGATTTGCAACTCATTTCTCTTCTTCACCCTCCACATCCCATCAGTCACCGAGTCTTGCCTCGACTGACGGTCCTTGAGTCCATTAAAGTGTCCCCATCTTTTGCTAGTGCTGTTTTAATGGCATGCTAGCTAGCTAGTTAGCTGGTTTCACATCCTTCCATTTGAGTTCCTGAACCTCCTCGTGTTTTTGGAGCCCTGTGCTTTTGTGCACATGCTATGTTCTCTAATATTGCAATCCTTTCCCTTCGTTTCCCATCTATGTTTTCATATTTAAGATCAGAGTCAAAAGTCATCTTCTCTACAACATTTTATCTGATCTACCTCTTCAGCCCATTTCTGTGGTCCCACACAGAAAGTTTACGCAATTCTATTTAGTATTTCATTTGTCTTGTCTAATCTAATGTTCACTGGTCCTCATAAATGAGTTTTCTAATTCATTTTCCTGTCCCAGGCTCAGAGATGTGGAGATCAAATCTGTGCCCCACATTGTCACTAGCAATATCATCATAAACACGAATCTGATCTTTCCAGTTCTTTGTTAACATCATTGTATTGTTCACCTTCCCCTATGAAATAAAATTTAAATTTCTTACAGTAGTGATTGAGGCCTTTCAGGATGTGGCCCAACCCATGTTTCTAGCTAGATCTCTGTTACTACTTCCAAAATACCCTAACTTCCGGGGACGCCTGGATGGTTCAGTTGGTTGAGCATCTGACTTCGGCTCAGGTCATGATCTCACGGTTCCTGAGTTTGAGCCCCGAATTGGGTTTGCTGCTGTCAGTGCAGAGCCCACTTCAGATCCTCTGTCCTCCTTTCTCTGCCCCTCCCCTGCTCTCTCTCTCTCTCTCAAAAAACAAAACAAAACAAAAACCAACCAACCAACCAAACAAGAAAACTTTAAGCCCCCAAATACTTTCCACTTCTGTGCTCTGCCTTTTGTCCTAACTTCCTTCCCATCTCCAACTCCTGCAATCTCACTCTGTGAGTTCTCCAAACTCCCTTTCCTCCATTTCTCAAGGAAGCATTAATCACCTTTCTCTTCTGTGTTCCCATAACCCTTGGTTTATACCAGTTACTTATCACAGTATACAATCTTTATGTAGGTGTGCCTCCACTAAGATTGTGTGGCATGGAGGAAAGACTTGCTTTTCATCACTTTTAATCATGGAATACGATATCTGGCACACTGGACAACTTAAAATATGTTGTCATGTAAAATCAAAGCATAAAAAAAGTGAAAAATTAAAGCCATAAGAACAGTTGAAGCAAGATTGGCTATAAGTTGATAACTGGAAAAGCTGCATGATGGATGCATGGGGCTTGTTATATTATTTTTGCATGTTCGACTTTCCAAAACTCAAAATAAAAATAAGATATACCAAGCTTTTGTTAGCAAACTTGTTGTGACCAAAGTAGGGATGTATCCACTTTGAGTTCCATTCCTACTGCCAGCCTTGGCCATAACTTTGGGAGGTACGTGAATCTACATTGGTTACAGGGAGACAACGTTCCTGTTTTAGTTACTTGGGTGTTGTTTTTGCCTTCTGGTCATGCAAAATCCTTACCAACTCAGGCCCTTTGCACTAGCTATGCCTTTGAAATCAGCTGGTTCCCTTTGGGGGTGGAATGTTTTTCTCTCCCCCAACAGTGCTGACAGCTTCCTCTTGTCATCTAAATCACACAATAGGTTTTATTCCCTAAGACACCCCTTTCATTGTCATCCTATCTATATACTCGCTCTTGTCCCTTCAATAGCATCCTGTTAGATTCTCTTTTGTTTAAAAATGTTATTTATTTATTTGTTTGTTTGTTTATTTATTTATTTATGAGAGAGAGAGAGTGAGAGAGCAGGGGAGGGGCAGAAAGAGAGGGAGGGAGGGAGGGGGAGAGAGAGACAGAGAGAGAGAGAGAGAGAGAGAGAGAGAGAGAGAGAGAATCCTAAGCAGGCTCTGTTAGGATGCTAACACATCCTACAGAATGCTCCAAGTCACGAACCGTGAGGTAATGACTTGAGCCAAAATCAAGAGTCCAATGTTTTAACCGACTGAGACACCCAGGTGCCCTTACATTTTCTTGATAGTACGTAGCACAAACTGAAATTATCATTTTTATTTATTTGTTTACTTGTAATGGTTTGTCTTCCTCAGTAGAACATAACCATGGGAGAGTGAGGACCTTATTTGACATGTTCTAAATTCCCAGGGTCCAGAACAGAGTCTGACTCACTCTATGTGCTCAATCAATACTTATGGAATGCATAAAAACCTGAATACATCTATATTGGCATTTAGAAAATTATTTGATAAACTTTCTTTAAACAATTCTTGTAAATGAAGAGTCCAATCATGAGGCTCCCCCTTAATTAACTACAATTACATTTATATTAATCTACGATACCCAATATGGTAGGACATTCCATCATGCTTTCTACGAAGAGTCAACCATAACCTGAAGAAAAACACAGAAATTCTACAAAAATATTTCAAAAGAGTAATTGAAAACCTCTTAAACCAGCCTTTTTATATAAAATATAAAAGACAGGTAGATAATAACAGCTGAAAGTACTAATGTTTACTTTGTGCCCAGCGCAAGTCCAAGTGCTATACATGTTATTACCTAGTTTCATCTTCAAAACAATCCTATGAGGTATGTACCTCTGTATCCCCTCAGTACAGATGTGGAAACAGACACAGAGATGCTAAGTCATGTGCCCAAGGCACAGAGCTGGTAAGTGGAGGCTCCAGGCTTCAGACTCTATTATTAACTAACCTACATCAGACTGTGAGAACAAAACATGCCTTCACTCATACTTTCACTCAAAGGGTCTTCTTGGTGCCCTCTGGGTGGAATGTAATGGAAGAGGCAATCAGTTAGATTTCTACATCTGTCCGTTAGTTCTGATCAATTTTGACCAGAGAAAAGTCCTGTTCCCCATCCCAGGCTACACTTTGATTGCCACTGTTCTCTCAAAAACATCTGCCTTTTGCTACAAAGGGAACTCGAGGACAATGGGCTCAGCACAAACTTTTTACAATTACTAGAAAAGTGAGTCCAGTGATGTCCTTGGGGTTGAAATGAGCAGTACTACCTCCCTCCTCACAGGACACACAAGCACTGTCCTTACCACACCAGGGAAGCGGGTGCCCTGGGGGCCATGACAATACAAATAGACTACACCTGCAGGACCTTCACACCTTGAGCCATCAAAGTTCAGCTTTTCTAGGAATTAAAGACAAACTCATTGAAGTGAGCAATTATTTTAGCCCTCTCCTAATTTGCTGGGCTTTGTACAGCAGACATTCCACAATGCTCTAATTTTCACTGGATTCAAAGGACAAGCATGGGGAAACATGACATGATGGGCTAGGTCTTCCCACTGGTAATGCCTGTGGGATGAAGAAGGTGAATTAATAATTGAAATGCACAACAAAGTGAGTAGTCAGTGGAGCAGAAGAGATGTAAAACCTTCTAAAGCCCAGCATTTTCCTAGAAAGCATTCTGCTTTTAATTTCCAGAAATTAGCAGGACACCATAAAGCTTTTTTGTTTTTTCCTGCAGGCACCATTTGCCCATGGGTCCCATTAGAGAATGAACTCCACGTTTGCACTGCATGCAAGGTCACAGGCCATCAGCATGGCTCCCAGGTCCAGCTAAGAGAAGAAGGTGACCAACCAATAAGAGGCAATAATATGCTAACAAAGCCAGGGGTCAGAAATGTACCCTCTCTGGGGGGCCTGGGGGGCTCAGTTGGTTAAGCATCCAACTTCGGTGCAGATTATGGTCTCACAGCCTGTAAATTCAAGCCCAGCATCAGGCTCTGTGCTGACAGCTCAGAGCCTGGAGCCTTCTTTGGATTCTGTGTCTCCCTCTCTCTGTCTGCCCCTCCCCCACTCATTCTCTGTCTCTGTCTCTCTCTCAAAAATAAACAAACATTAAAAAATTGAAAAAAAAAAAAAAAGAATGTACCCTCTCTTCATATGGACTGCCAGATCTGGTAAAAAATAAATAAATAAACAAACAAACAAAACAAAAACTAAAAACAAAACCTCATATATTTTCTTGCACTATCCAATCAGAAAAGGAAATTTATATTCCGGATTTTTTAAATTTATTTTTTTTTTAATGTTTATTTATTTTTGACAGAGAGAGAGACAGAACATGAGCGGGGAGGGGCAGAGAGAGAGACACACACACAGAATCCGAAGCAGGCTCCAGGCTCTGAGCTGTCAGCACAGAGCCCCATGCGGGGCTCGAACTCACAAGCCGTGAGATCATGACCTGAGCCGAAGTCGGTCGCTCAACCGACTGAGCCACCCAGGCGCCCCCTATATTCTGTTTAAAGGCGGCATCTTTTCTTCCAATTCAGCTCCAAAATTCTCTGGTTAGAGGTACTAAAAATGCAAATTGCTCTTACGTTTGTTACAAT